CTCCTCTAACCATCTCTTCTCATCTTTTTCTCATTCTCTCTTCTCTCTTTGTTTTTTTGAGCCAAAAGTTCAGGTGAATGATGCCTGGCTCGAGACCATTCCATCTCATGATCATGATGATGATATAATGATGATGATGATGTCGGACCAGGCTTCATTCCCCTCAACTTACACGTTTTGTTCTTAATCTTCACGAAAAATCGTCAAACAGGATCACTGAAATCTCCGGTAAGCCAATAGAAAGATGAACACAAAAACACACTCAAGTGTGTACATATATGTGTATGTATCATCATCAATTCGTTGCATAATGTATATATTGGTGTATATCAATTTTTTTGGCTTATCGTTTGTTATTAACGTTTACATAATTTATCTGTTAAACTATAAATTTAGTTTCTCGCACTTAACAATATATTCGAAATTTCTTTCTGACAAAGGTATAGTACTATTTGCATAACGGCACATATGTATATAAGAATAAGAGTAACAAGAATAGATGATGCAGTATTTGGTGTTCAAAAAAGAAAAAAAAAATATGATGCAGTATTTTATTTCAGCTTGAAGATCGAAATGATATAAGTTGGTCAATGTCATGGTAAAATTTTTATACATATAATCAAAACTTGTACTATTTTTTTAACGTTGTGTTTTAGAATATGAACTGAGTCTGAGTTTTAGGTGTAAACTAATTGTAGGAAGAAAGGTATAATATCGAAATAATTAGCGTCAACTTTAATTCATGAGGGGCATATCTTTTTCTCTTTAGTCTTTACCAATTTCGTTGAAATATCTTGTTGTAATCAGTGTGGAAATTGGCTCAAAAATAACTGTTTTTTTTTTTTTCTTTTGACTATTTAATTTTCAACAATATTTATATATATATTTCCACTTGTTCAACATCAATTAAGAATTATCCTCAGAAGATTAATGTTATGGAAAATTATTAGATAAATACTTTAGTCTACTTGTTGAGTAAATAGTTCATCTTTTCAAAAATATAACAGTTTGATTTGATATGTAACAATACTATATAGCTAAAAAAGTTTTATACAAAAAATGGTAGATCAAATTTGTAGTCATCAGATGATAAAATAATCAATGAAATTTGATAATTCGATGAAATGTGAAAAACGTTATAAATTGAAAAATGTGACGAGACAAAGAAGTGAATTCATTATAGCAATATTGATAAATACTACTATAATTTATTCATAGAGGCAAACAAAAAAGGTCGTGATATAATATTACATGCCTGCATCGTGACTTTCACTTTCCTTGTCTGACTTAACCGCAAAATTACTATATTTTCTTTTACTTTCTTTATAGAGCCAAAAAATGCAATATGTGTTCAAACTTCGGGTCTGTTCTTTTGCTGATCGCTGCAATTAATCCAGCGACTGAAAATTAAAGAAAGAAGTTGAACTGACGGCACGTTTTTTTTTAAATCAGTCGCTGATTGATTGGAGCTGATGACGTGTATTGATTTCTGATCGCTGGTTATTTTGACGACTCTTCCGTCACTGTATCACACCTCCATTTTTTCCAGTAGCACATCCATTGCCCGAAGGGCCTTTTTTTTTGTAATTCATGCTTTGGAAGAAATCTTTATGTCAATTTTGTAATAGGAAAAATAATACCAAATTATGAGTAAAATATACAGATTGTTTGGAAATTAAATGTGCTTTTTTTTTTTTAAACTATATAATGTATTATATTCTCGCTCGCACTTAAAATATATATTTGTAGAACTAGGTTACTACCTTGGGTTTAGTGTTCAAAATTCTAATATTTAATGTTTTTTTGACATCTACATAATTTTGTTTTACTTTTTTTTTTTTTCCTCAAACACCATTATATTAAGTTATCGGAAATAGACTCTCTGCTAGGAAGAGCTAACAAGGAATCAAACTCCGCATGGGGCGGTGAGAGACTTCGTCGAGCGCTTTTGAGTCCTAGGTGGCAGACTTTACCTTGTCCTACTAATACCCATCCATCCCCACTTAGATTATCATCAGCATGCCAGGAGGCGTCAAACTGACATTCCGCGATCAAGAGGGGAAGGGGTAAGGCAGGTACCATGAGGGAAGGGGGTCAACGGGAGATCTTTCTTTTAAATTTGCTTGTTTCCAAGCATTCGCCTCATGGATTGCCAAAGCTAAAGTCTCTTGGGGAGGTTCTTTGAAATTTTCAAACAAGAATTTGTTTCGACTTTTTCAGATATACCGTAATATCCATGGAAAGATTTCATGATATACCGTAATATCCATGGAAAGATTTCATGAATGTCCTCTCCTATTCCGAATTATTTCCCACGATAGAAAAAAATCAAAGTTATAGAAGAGGAAACTTCTAGGGAAAATGTGCCCTACATGGGGATAGGTGACAGAACCCAGATTTGCCTCGAGGGCAGGCAATCAAAACGTAAATGATTTATAGATTCTTCTGGAAACCCCGCAACGAGGACATCCTTTCTTATTGCCAATATGGCGATAGGATAACCTCTGACAAGTAGCAGACTTTATTAAACACCAAACACCATTATATTAAGTTATCGGAAAGAGACTCTCTGCTAGGAAGAGCTAACAAGGAGTCAAACTCCGCATGGGGCGGTGAGAGAAGAAGAGGTTTGGCAACCATTATACTTCTCCAACCGTATGAAGGCCGATTAGATTTTCCTATATGTAACGGGTCACTAAAGTGAAATAACGTCCCCTTAGGACCCTACTTAAAAGAGTGTTAGAGAATTTGATAAGGTGCCATAATTGCTTTGTTAATAAGGCTAGATTAAATTCTTCAAGCGTTCTAAAGCCGACACCTCCATCAGAGTATGGTGTACAAAGCTTATCCCACGCTATCTAGTGAATACCATTATTGTTTTCGTTGGTTTTCCACCAAAATTTCGCAATGGCACTACTTAATTTTGAACGAATAGCTTTGGGGAGGAGAAAGCACGACATAACATATGTTGGAAGAGCCTGCGCAACAGACTTTATAAGAACTTCTTTGCCACCTTCGGACAAGAATTTTGTTGACCAGGTATTGAGACTTTTTTGAAGTCGGTCTCTCACAAAGGACAAAACTTGTACTTTCGATCCATGAATTTGTTCAGGTAGCCCCAGGTACGATCCCATGCCCCCATCCCGATGAATTCCTATTGTTGATTTAATAGTATTTCAGATTGTATTATCCACATCGTGACCAAACATTACTGAGGATTTAGCACTGTTTAATTGATGTCCCGAAGACTCGGCATAAGTATGAAGGATATCAATGATTTTTTGACCTTGAATCGGATCAACTTTACAGAAAGAGAAGCTATCGTCTGCGAACAAAAGGTGTGAGATGGAAGGGCTTCCTCGAGAAATTAGAGGCCTTGAATACGACCGTTCCATTCAGCGTCTTTAAGCTTTACCACTAAGGCCTCTGTACACAATATGAACAGGAAAGAGGAAATAGGATCGCCTTGGCGAATTCCTCTAGACGTTCTAATGATGCCCCTTCGAGAGGCATTTAAGAAAACTTTATACGAGACCGAGGAAATGCAGAAAAATATCAAATCCACCCATCGTTGAGCGAAACCCATCTTCAGCATGAGGGCCCTAAGAAAGGGCCATTCCACATGGTCATAAACTTTACTCATTTCTGTATTTTAGCCATGGGTTTTTTTTTGTAAGCCGGATTTGTTCGGAGAGCATAAAATTTTTATTGCGCTATAAGAATGTTATCGGTAACAAGTCATCCAGCCAAAACGGTGGATTGTGTCTCGGATATAAGATCTGGAAGAAACTTTTAGAGGCATAAACTCAATACTTTGCAAATAACTTTGTAATCAACATTACACAAGCTGATTGGTCAAAATTCCGCCATTTTCCTTGGTCTATCTATTTTTGGGATCTGATAGATATTTGTCTCATTAAGGCGCTCATCAAAAGATCTAGAAGAGTGGAAGTTTTGGATTAATTTAATTAGATCTTGCCCAATCAAGTCCCAAAATCGCTGATAGAAAAGAGCTGTCATCCCGTCTAGCCCCGGAG